TCACTTATTTGTGGCCAAAGCTTATAACCCAATTATTTTGTATATAAACATAGTTTTCTATTCTAGTTCTGGCAGATGACTTCTTTTTTTGAAGCGTAACTTCTTACTAATCAATATGAGAATATTTAAAGCATTCAACTTAGACAATTACACTACATTAATATGTGTTTGGAAAGATAGAGCTAATTTTAAATTAAGAACATTATTAAGATGTTACTTGAGTAAAAAAACACTAATTAAGGAAGCTAATCTTTATCGGCAGGCAACTATAATGCGATTCCAAGTCAAGATAATGAAATTAAAGTAAGATCTGAAAAAGTATAGTAGACCTTCTTGCTTGGACCAAAAGATACAGAAAAAGAAGCAGGAAAGTGATACTTCTAAGTTATCTTTAAAGGCAACATTTCCTACGTCTATTCAATTTACAACCAGGGAATCATTGGTCAGTTGATTAGAGGATTCCTGTGTTGCCTTACATTGTGTAATAAACAAAGTTGTAATAAGATGACAACAAAATGGTATCAGACTTTCACTTTTTGTTAATTATGATGATGGGTCTATACAAAAAGAAAAAATTGTTCAAGAACGACTAGATTTTTGGAGATGCTTACATATCAGTCCTTTTTCCCTTTAGATCAGAATGAACATGCCAAAAGGATATCTAGCTGTGTACGTAGGACAGAAAATGAAACCGTTGTAACTCCCTATCATTCTTTCTTCTCATTTCAAGAATTATTGAGTCAAATTGAGAAACTGTTCACATATGATCATCATCTAATGGTTGTCACTAAGAGCTGTCAAAATAGGCTAAAGCCTATGAACCGATCTATCAGGTTAAAAAAAATTAGGTAAAAGCCCTAAAAAAAATATGGGACAGATTGTACGCGCCATGAATAGTCCATCAGTCCGAAAAAAATTAAAAACTTTAATATAATTAGAAGTTATACTTTCCTAATTCATAAAAAAGATTAAACAAAAGAAAAAAAAATTGAAATTGTGCGAAATTTTAGATATGGTGTTAATGAATAAGATATAAACAATTTGCATAAATAATATATACCTTATTTTTGAGCCCAGGTAGTATAAATGGTCAATTGGTATATATGGACAATTTCGATGTCCAAAGTAATGAAATTTTAGATATGCTATAAATAATTTGTGTATTATGTATTTTAATATTTTTTTTATAGTATAAATGTATAAATATCCAACAAAAATTGCTGATTTGACTTAATTTCAAACTAAAAAGTTTCATCCGAATATAATTATATAGATAGTATAGAAAAGACACTATAACGTATTCTAATTAAAAATAAGGTTGAAATAAAGTTTAAAAAGCTTTGATGTAATTTTTATGGGAGGATAGAGTTAGTACAAATCAGATATATAACAATTTGTTATAAAATTGTATCCCATCAATCTAATTATAATTGTTATAAAATTATAATTATTATAAAATTACTGCTTGTTGTTATAATTGTTATGAAATTGTAATTGTCATGAATATTTATAACTTAAAACTTGTTAGAACAAGTTATTTAATTTTGTGTGTTACATTAGATAATTTGTGATGTATTTTGGATAGTTTGAATTAAATTAATATATTATTTTATATTTTAATTGATAACTTATATGTATTATTTAAAAATAACAAAAAAATTTCAATCTTTTATAAATATAGATCTATTTAGGACCGGAACTCGTTTAGAATCAGGTAGTTCACAGTCCAGACAGAACTGAACATGCATGTAAAAATAGAGTTAATTTAAATATGAGTTTTTTGGGCCCAGTCCTAAAAAATCCGAGACCCATATAGATCGACATATTTAAAATCGGTAAGCCTATTTTGACCGGTCTCATTGCTCCATGTAGAGAAGCCGTTTTTTTAGATATCACTTCTCACTTGAATTGAATTTCTGCTAACCCTTTGAGAATACTACAAGACTGCATAAATATACGACCAATTTTTGTTTCAGTTTAGTTTCTTACCTTTAAAAGAATTATTTTGTTGTTGTTATCATACTTGTTTGTAAAAAAGTTCTACCTCAATGGAAATTTTTTGTTATCCCTATTAGAGCATTTCTCTATATTTTCCCTTTAATATCAATCCAAAAATTGAATGATGTTTAGTTTATAATCTCTAAATTATTTCAAATATAACTTTGATTCAACTTGTTGAGAAAAATGGAAAATCGAAAGTAACTAATAACTATGATGCACTAACTAATGATAGATCGTCTAGTGTTAGGACACCCTACCTGATCTGACCTGATCAGAAATGGACCGTCACGGCTGGCTCCGAGCAGAAAGCTTTTTTGAACGAGGTGGGGGGGGGGGGTACCTGCAAGACACTCCGATGCTGAAGTAAGTAGGAGTACGAGCAGATAATAGTAAGTTGAGGTTAGAATGATGAATACCTGACCCTCTGGAAACAGAGGGTATTTATAGCCCCCAGCGCTGGGCCAATGTTCCTTCATTGGGCCGGGCGGATTTGGCCCAATGGAGGAACTGCCAGGTTCTACGTGGGTAGTGGGGACTCGCACGTGGTCCCCTTCCTGGATGTTCTGCGTGAAGTGCGGGCGGACGAAGACGCGGTCTTTCCGGAGTATCGTTGGGGGAACGGTGGACTGAGTCTGCCCTAGTTGGGATGCTCGAGACAACGTCGAGCTGGACAGCAGGTTGTCGAGCTGGACGTCAAGACGTGGAGCTGGACGGTAGGATGTCGAGCTGGACGTCAGGAGGTGGAGCTGGACATCACCACGTGGAGTTGGACATCGGGATGTCGAGCTGGACATAAGGATGTCGGGCACGGATGTGACCCCTTTGCTCGGCGTGGTCCTCAGTAAGTCCCTTTGGACTGGGCCTTAGCAATGCTTTTGGGCCTGTCGGGCCCAGTCCAGAACAGGATCCCCCCAAGTCGTGGTTCCTTTGCGAGGAGCCATGACTTGAACCCGTTATTCCCTCGTTGAGGTCTCGTGCCCGGGATAGAGGTGTGGGCCCTCGAGGAGCCTCCTCGTGTCGTGCTCGGAGACGTCCTCGGTAGTGGATGCGCGGAGGATCCTTACCGGGCGCGTCGGTTGAGCACACGAGGTATCTTTCGGGAACTGTGCCGCCACCCTATAGGGGTAGGGTCATCATTGCGTTGGGAGCAGCGCGTCGAGGAGATGGAGTCCGTGGATGCCCGAGGTGACGTTTGGTATTCCACGTCATCACTATAAATAGGAACCTTGGGCCCCATAATACGTTTCTACTCTCTGTGCTCTCTCTGCTGCTGCTCTTCCAGACTTTCTCCAGTTGCGACTTTCCGTCACAGATTCTTCCATTTCGTAGCCAAATCCCACTCTTTGATCCAAGTAAGTGATCTATCTTCTTCATTTTTCTGTTTAGAATGCATGATTTCTGGCGTTTGTAGATGTTTTAGGACCGTGCGCGTGGGATTAGCCCGGTAAACTCATGCTTAGCCCGACACATTCATGTCTAGGACCGGCAAACACATGTTTGTGGCCGGCGCATTCATAGTTTTAGGTGATAAACTTCAGAGCTGCCCGGGGTCTTCATGATCCAGGGCGCCTGATTCATGATCGCGCCCGGCATGTTCATGGTCTTGGCCGTGGGCTTCATGGTGCGGCTCGCCATGTTCATACCTCGGTCGTCATGCTTGGAGAGTGGCCGAGCAGTTGGTTTGAGGAAGAACACCGGGTTCAGGATGTCGGGGAGGCAACCATCCTTGGAGACGGACTTATGTAGTCGTGCATAGGACGACGTGATTTTGTCGAGCGTAGGGCTTCGTGCTCAACTGACTGGTTTCCCGTGTTCTGCAGGTAACCATGGCGGACGAGCCGAGCTCTTCCGGACGCCGCGACCGCGAAGAACAGAGTGCCGACGAGTCGGTCACCCTGATTGATACCGTGACCGACCCTTTGCTGGAATGGGTGGGCGTCGAGCCACGGGGGATAGCGTCGGTCTACAGCCGGGATGACCGACATCCATACGCTGTCATCGAAGAGGGTCAAGACCAGCCCGGCTTCCAGAAGAACTTCGTAGTTATGCTTCCGTCAACCCGTGCAAGGATTTTCTCGGTTTATCCGAATTACAGCTTCGCGATGTATGAGATCGCGTTCAAAGTCCTAGGGCTGCGGCTGCCCTTCACTGATTTCCAGGCCGGGGTCTTTACGCACTTGGAGCTGGCCCCGTCCCAGCTACACCCAAACTCTCTCGCCTTCATCCGGGCGTTTGAGTTGACGTGTCGCTACCTGAGGATCGGGGCGACCATCCCGCTTTTCTTCCGGATATTTCACCTGCAGCGTCAGTCCCGAGGAGGGAAACATAGCTGGGTCTCCCTGAAGCAGTCGAGGAGACTCTTTAAGATGTATATGGACTCCGTGAGGGGGTTTAAGGACAAGTGGTACGTGGTACGGCCAGTTACCGATGCTGCCATAAATTCCCTTTTCGAGGAGGAGGAGCCGGTGAGCGACGAGGATGGGGAGGCGATGCTGGGCGATGATGGGAACCCTGTGTTGGGTCGTAGGCCTAAAGTCCCCGTGCACTGGATGTCCCGGCATTACGAGCATGGGACGGGTTATTACCATACCGCCGCCGGGGACATGTGCTCGGAAGACGAGCAGGCGTACGGCGCTCTTTGCCGGTTTGTCGATAGTTTCCATCCCGCCCGGTGGGTTACGCGGGAAGGGGATGATATCCTGGATAAAGATGGTTACCCAACGTTCGAGTCCCGCCCGATTGACACCAAGGCGCTGGTGGAGTGCCCGACGTACAGGCAGGCTGCCCGCCTGTTAGGTTGTTTGTTGTTTGAAATTCTTTATTCGTCATTTATTTATGAAGTTTGCTCGATACTGACCTAACCTTTATTTTGTGCAGGTACAATGGCTAGCCGACATGA